TTTTTGACCTTACTAAACCCACAGATGGTTAAGTTGCGTAATAAAGTTATATTATATTTATTATTATAATATGTTCAGAATTTATTGAAGTATATTCATGGTTAAATGTTTGTAGATCAGAATCATGAACATCTGTGTAAAAGTAGCCATTGTATTTTTTGTTTTATTTCTAGAAATAAATGCATGTCAGAATTCCCAGTGTCAGAATGGTGGTTTCTGTGTTCCTGTGGCAGGATCCTGTACTGACTATACGTGTACATGTACTGGATGTTATACTGGACAATATTGTACACAATGTAAGTCAATTTCAATCAATGACACTGTTATTAAGATTTTCTGGGAGAAATTAATTTCATTACCACCATCATCCCCATACAACCCAGTGCCACCCTCACACACGCCACCATCCCCAGATATATACCCACACATATACCGTACTATGAAATCAGTTCTACATATATTACAAGATATCAATGAGCATTATTTGTTAATTAAGTTTGTATTTTCATTTCACAGTATTGAATCCATGCCAGAATTCTCAATGTCAGAATGGTGGTTTCTGTGTAGCTGTACCTGGATCTTGTACTGACTATACCTGTACATGCAGTGGATGTTATACTGGACAATATTGTACAACATGTGAGTGTAAATTATACCATTGTGTCATTTTTCATGTAGTATATATTTATTTTATTTCATATTGTCAATATAAAACCTGAACTTTATATTACATATACTTCGAATTGATGATTGGTTCACACTAATTTCTGTTAGTCATAGCTGTAGCAGATATAATAAATCAAATCTGCATAATATTTATTTAAAATTCATAATTGCTAAAACTTTAAATCTTTTAGTATTGAATGCATGTGACAACCATCAATGTCAGAATGGAGGTACTTGTGTTGCTATCTCAGGATCCTGCGAGTTATATCAGTGTACATGTCCTAGCTGCTATCTTGGACAGTATTGTTCAACACGTAAGTCATTCAGAACTTAATAATTCATCAATGGTTTACTGTTTGATGTTAATTTAGCTTCTGTATATATAGATTTATTATTAAGCAAACTACAAAATGGTGAAGATGGTTCCACTAAATCATACCTTACTCGGTCATATACTAGTAAGCAATCCTTACAGAAGATGCAAAGGCTTAATTTTTTTTTTTTTAATAATAGTATTTACTTTTTTAGAATATCACCATTTTTTTCTTGTGGGCAGCATTCTTTCATTCATATATATATTAATACTCTATCCATTGCAGTCCAAGATCCATGCGCTAACAACTATTGTCAGAATGGTGGAACATGTGTTGCTGTTCCTGGTTCTTGTACAGATTTTACTTGTACTTGTGCTGATTGCTATACTGGACAATACTGTACTCAGTGTAAGTGTACAATATTTGCTTTGTTAGAATCACGCCTTCATTAGAAGCACACATACACCTAAAATGGCATTTATTGTAAAACTGGATCTTATTTTGACCACAGATGCACCCCCAGCTGTTATACAAGTATATGAAAATACAGTACATGTCTATTTGGGAATCATGCCTGTCACCCTGCACCCTGTGTTGTTTAGTTTGATAAGCACAACAGATTTTTATGATAAATATTATATTACTCATGATTAAACCGTATTCAATTATTTTTATTTCTTAAATATTAATTGTCATCGATGTTCCCAGTGAAATGTGAAGCAAATAATTGATCTCAATAAAAATTCTTTTCAGTGATTTGTGAAAATAGCCAGGAGAGATAATGTCATAGCTCATTATACCCTCAATGTTTCACACTATGATTAGAATTTTCTGGTGTCATATAGACCCAGCGAATATAACTCCTCTATTTGGCAGAGAAAACAAATGTTTGCATGGGATGGCATTATTGGTTGTAGAAAAACAATTTTTTTTTTAAAGGTGATGTATTATGCAAAATGTGGTAATGTAAAAATAGTTTACAATTACCAAATTGGTAGCCAGGCCATTGGTTACAAGTAATTTACAAAAAAATCGGCTTGCCCTATCTTTTTCGAAATAATGCGATCCTTTCAAATAATGGGGCATTCTGTCATAATCACACCATTCCAAGTTGAAAAACTGAAAAAAATAAGTAACTTTCACAGCCAAACAATTCGTTGGGTTAATATTAAGCCAGCCAATAATAAAATTTGCTTGCATTCGGTTTTGCATGGAAAATCCCTTGCATATAAACACCTCTTTACATGAAGAACATAAAACACTTTCTCTGGGGTATTTGACACCTAAACTAAGTGTGACGGATATCCCTTCGCCGTTTTTGTAATAAAGCTGAAACAAGTCAGTTTCACTCAGCAATAGAGCCCTTTTTTGTATAAATTCCAGCAAGTCATTATAAGTTAGTTTTTCTTCAGTGGAACCCTAGTGATCGAGCCCTCATCTTTTGTACAAGACCTGCATGGTACTTCAAAATTCAACTGTTGGTAAATAATCTACAGAATTATAGTACACTAGCGTTCCAAAATGATGAGTTCATTTGTTCAAGAGTTTAATAGCCTTGGGTGGGGGACAATGTGTATTGCATTGAAATACGATTGGGTGACCACATTCACTTTCAATCTTATTATATTCAAATAATGTGAAACATAAAACGTAGACGAGATACAAATGTTTCACAAAATCATTTATATTCTACTACATAAAATCATTGTATGATGCCCACTATATACATTCAACGAGAGTGGGCGTGGCCAATCAAAACCCAAACAGTCAATTCGCAAGCAAGTTTGCATATTGGCTGCCCAAATAATTCTGAGACTTGCTGTAATAGTACAAAATTATGATTTACGAAGGTTCATCACATGATAACCAATATGAATATTATTGTTGTTTTTTATAGTTATTAATCCCTGCCAAAATAATAATCAGTGTCAGAATGGCGGTTTCTGTGTTGCTGTGCCAGGATCTTGTACTGAATTCACCTGTACATGTACTGGATGTTACAGTGGACAGTTTTGTACTATATGTAAGTAGTTACCGTACATTTACAATATATACCAGTGCTTTAATATCATGTGACCAACTTTATTTGTCAGTGTGTTTTTTATTTCTGAATGCAATTGGAAATATAATCATTTGTAACAAATAATTCACACTTTGAGTGTAACTTAAAGAATAAGAATTATCAATTGCACTGATCATAATTACCTTGATGTTGGATACTATGTGACGTACTATATGTGCTGGTCAAATACATTCTTTGAAAGCTGGAAGGATGGTTGTCTGTAGAATGTGTCAATTTATAAAGTATTGTGGAGGTGAAAGCAATTGCCAATTACAATGTTGATACAAAGATATGATGCTTTCATATATAGTTGAACACTAATGATGTTATTTGGTAGTGCAGTACATTGTATCTTGACATGATTCATTTAATTATTATGGATGCACTTTGTGAGGAAATGTGCCGGCTCATAGTGCCATTATTCCATCATTTAGAGCCCAATTTGGGGATCTTTAAAGAATATTAAAGAGCCTTAGTAATATGTATGCTTGAGTAACTGTATATTTTTACTCCTAGTTTCCGATCCATGTCAAAACTTTCCATGTTTGAATGGTGGTACTTGCACTGCTTTACCAGGATCCTGTACAACATATTCGTGTCAATGTGTTGGGTGCTACACTGGATTAACCTGTGCAACTTGTAAGAATATTTTCTTCTATATTGTCCAACCATAACATTTAAAATGCTAAGAATAATACAAAACTGATGTGAGTTTAAATCCTGTTTTTAACTCTGCTTTTATGGGAAATGACAGAGCGGAGCTGTTTTTTCCAACCAGCATGCAATTTTCTGTTAACAAATGTGATCTGTTTTGACAACATTGCCTGTAAGATGTTTTATTAACATGCATACATATAAACACGTATATTTAATAACCATAACAGTGAATAACATCGTTATTTTATCTTCTGGTACAAACTACTTGTTCTTGCCAACGAGTTACTGCATACAAGCACAAAGCATAAAAAAGTGTGATGGTGTATATGTACTTTTGGTGGACCTTTCTCAGATTTTTCAAATCTCTAATTTAGATGAATATTATTGACAATATATTCTCTTCTCTAATTAGTCCCTGTTCCCCATATGCCACTTACTAAGATATCAACCCAGCACAACTGTTTCCTACCTCATTACTGTCTACCTTAAAAACAGTTTCCTCAGCAAAGGAGTGCAAAGAGATTTTAATTGTATTGTTATTCTTATATCCAGTGCAAGATCCATGTGCCAACAGTTTCTGTCAGAATGGTGCAACATGTGTTCCTGTCCCTGGTTCTTGTAGAGATTGGAGCTGTGCTTGTGCTGAATGCTATACTGGAACATACTGTACCCAACGTAAGTGTTTAATATTGTGTATTGAATTATGACCTTTTTTGATATGTACAGGACTTATTGAAATATACTTATGATGAAATGGTTGAGTACAGATCAGAATTAGGAACATCAGGGAAAAAGAACATGTATTCATTGTATTTTTTTTATTTCTAGAAATAAATGCATGTCAGAATTCCCAGTGTCAGAATGGTGGTTTCTGTGTTCCTGTGGCAGGATCCTGTACTGACTATACCTGTACATGTACTGGATGTTATACTGGACAATATTGTACAACATGTAAGTCAATTTCAATCAATGTCACTGTTATTAAGATTTTCTGGGAGAAATTAATTTCATTACCACCATCATGCATCCCCCCACACAACCCACTGCCACCCTCACACACCCTACCATCCCCAGATATACCCGCACATATACATGTACTATGAAATCAGTTCTACATATATTACAAGATATCAATGAGCATTATTTGTTAATTAAGTTTGTATTTTCATTTCACAGTATTGAATCCATGCCAGAATTCTCAATGTCAGAATGGTGGTTTCTGTGTAGCTGTACCTGGATCTTGTACTGACTATACCTGTACATGCAGTGGATGTTATACTGGACAATATTGCACAACATGTGAGTGTAAATTATATCATTGTGTCATTTTAAGCTTTTCTGCATATATATAAATGTACCAAAATGAGCCAAGTACGGGTGAAAAGTACGGGTCGTACTTTTCAGAAAATAGCGAGTACGGGCGATATTTGTAGCGAGTACGGGTGACATTTGTAGCGAGTACGAGTGGTAATTTAGCAGTACATGGAGGTAATTTAGCGAGAGCGAGTGATAAAATGTAGCAAGTATGGATGGTGGTGGTAAAATATAGCGAGTACGGGGTGAGGGTATTGCGGGGTAAAATGTATATATTTATACAACAATTACGGGTGCAGCAAAACACTCCATTGAGAATGAAAATAGCAGTGGTACGAACTGAAACTAGTTCAATCTAACGAATCGAAACTAGTTCCATCTTACAAGAACTAAATGGGGATGTGAAGCAGCCACGTTTAATTAATTATATATTCACGCAATTTGACCTCTATGATAGCAAAACGGACGCCTCGTAAACAAAAGTGCCCCGTAACTGACCAGACAAGTCTAATCATGGAGCTACAGAAATAGATAAATTGACTCATTCCCCTTGGCCTGATGAGAGTGACGCAACAGTGTTCGTAAGAACGCTTTTGTCTAAATATAACATTGTTTCACTGTAGTGTACAATTTTATTGAGTGAGCTAGTTGAATCCATGGCATGATTAAAACCTCGGCGTTGTCGAAGTGTGATCACGTTGAAGACCGTAATTCTTTACATGATGACAGCGCTATATGTGACACTTAGATCGCTTTTAAACACGTCGTTTAACGACATCCAAAATCAAGCCAAATTGAATGTATTCCTGCACGCGTGATTTGTTTTTGCCTGGAAATTATTGTGCAGAATATGATTTGGAACATACATGCCAGTAACTAGCTTATTGCTTCAAGAGCTGTGGATAATTAAAATTCGTGCACAATAGACTGCGCAAAATACAAACTCCTTTGTTAGGTTATTTATCGCATATTTTTCTAAGGTCTATGGTTATATTTAGACAAAAGTGTCATTACGAACACTATTGCATCACTCTCGTCTGGCCAAGGGGAATGAGTCTATTTATTTATTTATTTATTTATTTATTATTGTAGTTTCAAGATTACACTTGTCCGGTCAGTTACGCGGCACCTTTTTTACGAGGCGTCCGCTTTGCTACGTCATAGGGATCAAATTGCGTGAATATATAATTAATTGAACCATGGAAGGTACTAACGGAAGGAGCCACGACGCTATTGTTTTAGCTTTACCCCTTGATCGTTTGTCAATGTTTGTTCACAAACATTGTTCTTCTTAGCTTTTAACACCTTCGTACAATGGGTTATGCTAATGTTGAGCATTCGGTAATATTCAGAGCATGTTCGGAAGCGATAGTCGTACCTCGCATGTACAATATTGAAAATGGCGAACTTTAATGAAAAATTGTCAGATATAACATTGATTGAAGAAGAACTGATGAAATATCGTGAATTTTGTATTTGTAATGGTAATGAGACTTAATCAATGATTGCTTGTGACGATTGCATTATTAAGGGACGGTGTTCAATGATACTATTGTCAGTGCGTGGGTGTGGCGCCCGAAACTGTCGAAATTTTTGACCACCGGACATCGGCGAACACCAACAGAAAAGATAGTATCGAAAAAAGAGCATGCCTTGACACTTTCTCTGTGATAATATTTCTTAGGAGTCCTTAGGAATTGTTGTTGTATGCACTCGAAATCTTGTTCTAGTTACAGTTGCTAATATTTAAAACATGGGAAATTTGTGAAGTCAAACGTTCATCTGTTGAATTTCCGGTTGTGAAATACGTATTTTGACTTTTTACACCTAAACAAACCCAGTGCGCATGTGTGATGACCGTAGTTTCTTAATGCGCATATATTTCATAGTCACATTAAAAACTGTGTAAACAATCGCAAACTATCATGGACATCAAAGATGAGCTAGACAATGGCCTTATCAGGATTAATTGGGGTTGAAACAAAAGGAAATAAGCCAATTAAGAAGCTTAAGTGGCCACTTGATAGGCGTCGTGACTCCTTCCGTTAGTACCTTTCATGATTGAACATGGCTGCTTCACGTCCCCATTTAGTTTTCGTAAGGTGGAACTAGTTTTGGTTCGTTAGATTGAACTAGTTTCAGTTCGTACCACTGATATTTTCTTTCTCACTGGAGTGTCTTGTTGCTCCCGTAATTGTTGTGTAAATCCCGTACATTTTACCCTGCAATACCCCCACTCCCACCCCAACTCGCTACATTTTATCACTCGTACTCGCTAAATTTACCTCCCTGTACTCGCTACAAATACCACCCATACTCGCTACAAATATTACCCGTACTCGCTACAAATGTCACCCGTACTAGCTACAAATGTCACCCGTACTGGCTACAAATATCACCCGTACTTGCTTCAAATATCACCCGTACTCGCTATTTTCTGAAAAGTACGACCCGTACTTTTCACCCGTACTTGGCTCATTTTAGTACATTTATATACCTCTTTTCTGGGAAAAATCCATTTCATTACCACCATCATCCCCAGACAACCCACTGCCACCCTCACACACCCCGCCATCCCCAGATATACGAGGTATGTAAATGAGTCTCTTTGTGGTAGTTGAGCGCGCGGTAAATGAGTGTCTCAGTTTTCACGAAGATACGAGTTGAGCATACGCTTACTTTCAAAAATAAGCGTGGAGCAAAACAATGGAAAGCTTGAGTGCGCTCGCCGCTCACTTTTAAAAGTAAGCATGGGGACAAACCATGGAATGCTGGTGATGTAATGAAAACAACACTCAGTTTAACATTAAGTTGATACAAGTTCGTTTCAGAGGTCTGGATTCACATGAGCAGAACGTTTGTTAAAACTGAGGCAATCATATTTAATTAAATATTCACGCAATTTGAACCTTATGACCTTGTAAGATGGACCGTCTGGTAATAAGAGACTACGCTTTCTTTTGCGTGTAATTGTAGGCATGGGACCTACAACTTTATTGTATTTTATGTCAAGATCTCAAATGGGATACGATAGCAATAAAGATTTACTTACAACTCTGACGTTTGTTTTGTCTTGAATGTTTTCATTTGTCGGCGTCTGTAAACAACGCTAAGTGACAACGAGTTGTTTCGCACACTTGCATGAAGTGAAAGTGTGCACACATACAAGAATGTTGTTTTATTAATGAAATTTACATTACAATTTTGCTCATATGTCCGGATCAACCGTCATAGATTGATACTACAACAATGGTAGTGCAAATTTGCATGTCGCGATATTTATGCATTGTGCGTGAATCATTCCGTGATCGTACAGCTATGAATCATTTGGCTTCGATTGGCTGACACTCGTGAAAATATAAATTTACAGATAAAATACACATTTGATCAGACTACATTGGTGGCCATATACACATATGCTGCTTTTCTGTTACTTTGCTTTACATTGCTTCTCTGTAACGTTAAAAATGCGTTTGAAAACGGTTGTATAATCATTGAGCGTCATTATAGATGCCGACAAATAAAAACAATGCAAAAATACCCCCCACCACCACATGCACACACAAATAACTATTTTGAAACCACAAAAGTTAAATTATGAAAAATGATCAGCAATCCTGATATATTTGTAATTGCACATGTACATCGACTAAATTGTGCATACAATAATTCTGGTTTCTTGTAATGGGTCATGCATGTAGTTCCTAATCTGTGTAATTCCATTGTTTTTCCCACGCCAACTTTTACAAGTGAGCGTACGCTCTCTTTCTACGCATACAGTATTTAGCATAATTGTACCCCTTCTCGATTTTATTAGACTTTGCAGACGAAGTCTGCCGAAGGCTTATAGATTGGGTTCTGTCCGTGCGTCCGTCTTTTGCCTCTTTTAACTTTGATATGCTCTGTCCATTTTTTTTTCCAAATTGGTGCAAATGTATATCTCAATGCCATACATATGCACGCCAAGTATTTTTTTGATTCGCCAAAGTTTCATTGTGTTTTTCTGTGATTTTCAACATTTTACTCGTACAAATGCCGAAATTTGCCGGAAAAATCAGAGTTTTAACGACATCTCGCAAGAGAACTGGCATACGGTATTGCGCATGCGCCAGTCCAACCGCTGAGGAAATCGGCGGCGATTTCGTCTGAGGATATTTTATTCCGGACTGTATCTTTCTTTGCACAAGGCTTACATAGATTAAAATCTCAAAGGTAAGAAACTGTGCTTATGGCATTTATTATGAACTTTGATTTATCCTTTTGTGTCCTGACTTCAGTGAGAAACGAGC